TCTTGCTGAAATCCTATGTTAAATTGATTCCTGGCATCAACCTGCCCATGACGTCTGGTCACTTCCTGTTTCTAGTAGTTTTTAAGCATGCTTCACCCATGACGCGCAGGTCCAGATTTAGATATAATGAGGCCCTAAGCTATGGGAACATGTAGAGGCCCTATTTGGCAATTGTTAGCAGAGAATAAGGCTGTGTAACAACTGAACGTCGCAAGAACACCACTATCAATTAGGTTAATTAGGTTAGTTCGTTACATATAAGTTATAATAATACTGTAACAATTGAAAATAACTGAGACTGCGAGGCCTCCTGCAGACCGCGGCCCTAAGCTGTAGGTGGTTTAGCTTATGCCTAAATCTGGTTCTGGTGAGCCAGTGCTATCATAGATGTAGAGATAGACCATATTTTTTCTAACACATTCTTCCCCAACCTTTTAAAACACGGCGCGGAGTCGGCCATCTTTCTTCTATTCTATATCTGTGGCACGATTGATCGTTCGATGATCGTTCTCGACGACCGTGCGATTGATCGTTCTCCCTCTCCCAGCGCGACAGACCGCGGCTCCTGCTGGGCGGTGGGAACAACTTTCTTTTATTCTATATCTGTGATGCGATTGACCGCGATCGTTCTTTCTCCCGCGCGACAGACTGCGGCTCCTGCTGGGCCATGGGAACGACGAGCGCGATAGCCGACCGAATCAACATCAAGCGGAAGGGTGCGTGGCCACCTGCGTACCTCTCCGCGCAGAACGTGATCGACTGCGGCGACGCCGGCACGTGTCATGGCGGAGGCATGCTTGGCGTGTACGAGTACGCGCACAAGAACGGCATACCGGACGAGACGTGCAACAACTACCAGGCGGCCGACCAAAGTGAGAAGCAATCACGCACGATGATGATTAACGATCTATCTATCTATCTATCTATCTAACGATCTATCTGATGATGAATGATTTTGCGGTGGTGAACGCGCTTGCATGTCTAACCGGCTGCGTGGTGAAACAAGGCTTGTGAGGTCGAGATCTGGATTATCGATTGTTGGTTTATGTGTCGTATAGATCGTATGATTGAGCGTATCGAAGTAAAGGTTTGAAGGTAGCAATTAAAATTTCTGAACACTATTCAAGGTATCTGTTGCAGTGTTGGGTAAAATTGCGAGGGGTTTAAATGGGTAAAATCAAGGAGAAGACTCAGATGCTATCTCTTTATCTCTTATCTTGTATAATGACAATAGCTAATCATATGCAGTCAGGTATTAATAGCTCTTGGTAATCACTATCGTGCATGACATGTGTAAACTGTGATATCGGAAAGGGTGTTCTTTGTGTTAATTCACGAATTTCTGTCGCTTCACAGAGTGTGACAAAATGAATCAGTGTGGTACTTGCTCCTGGTTCAAGGAATGCTATGTGGTGCAGAAATACAAGCGATGGTTTGTCGGAGACTATGGATCCGTTAGCGGTCGCGAGAAGATGATAGCCGAGATCTTTGCCAACGGTCCAATCAGGTAAAGGTTTACAGATGACGTAATGCCAAGTAACACATTTTAAAGAAGAAAAAATAAAATAATAAAAGAATATTCAACCTCAGATGATTTTCATCCGATATCTAAGTGTGAGCCATTTGTTAATTTGCACACAATATCGCTTACACTGCCACGGTTTAGATTTTATCCGGAGTTAAAAAAAACTATGTAGTACAGTAAAACTCGCGTAAGTCAACATCGTCTAAGTCGTCAATTCGCGTAAAGCTGGGTTTACACTATCGATTTTTGTCAG